TCGCGATCAGAACAGAGACGTGACCCAATCGAAAAACGCAGTCCGCAGGCAATCCGTTGAGCGAGAACTTGCTTCACATATGTACCCTCGATGTAATTTCCGATAAGCGTAAAGGGGTGGTGGGTTTGTAACGCTGCAGGAGGTGTGCAACACGTTCCAAGGTGTTGGTAAAAGGAAGATTTCAGCATAGCTTTTAAATCTGGGCGTGCAAGACATAACCTCTAACCTAACCAATAAGTAATTGTTTGATACATTAAAAAAGAAATGGAGCATACAGAATTGAACACAAGACACTTTGGTCAGGGTACTAAATTCAGTACAATTAACCACTCTGCCAAACCGGCATTTGTTTCCTGTGTTCGTCATGCACTATATGCTAGTGTGCCTTCCCACAGCCTGTCATCTTTCCTTTTAAGGAATGTGAGACGGGGGGAGAGAGCTGGGCCATTTCTAATAAGTGCCAGGCATCTTGTGGCGCTGGGCACTCGGTAGTGCCAGAACACTAAGATCTGCCGCCCGATGGCCATCTTAATTAGGATTTAGCAGAATTGGCCTTCAAGGCTTCACGTGACGTCAAAGTGTTAAGCTAGCGGTGTGAGGCCTTGAGGGCTATAGTGCCTACGGGCGCAAAGCCCGCTAAAAATGAAATGTTTTGTTTTCTATTTAAAAAAGTGATTTTGCCAAGATTTTGCGATCCTTTATTGGCTGCTCGTCGCCGAACCGCGGAAGCGGTTCGGCGCACGACGATGACAAAAGCGATGCAGACGTACAAACAAAGCATTCCACCGTGGGCGCCTTTGAGGGCCCCAGAACGATGACGAAAGCGATGCAAACGTCTTACGTAGCCGGCGATTAAATAAAAAGCAAATGAATTTTATAAAAAGTGATTTTGGGATCGTTTATTGCTCGTCGCGAGGCTAGAAGATATTCATTTTCTCCAACATAACCAGGTACCCCTCGTGCTCCTCCTCACCTTTCAGATATTTCAGGACTTTACCCCAATCCTCCGCAGAGTACAAGAATTTGAGGTCCTCAGGCATTTTTCGTCTCTCATAAACATCTCTTCAATGCAGAATTTGATGTCGG